GGTCCTGAGACCACACTGTCCCAGCGAGGGTTCCACCCCTGCTTAGCCACTGGAGTGACATCCCTCAGTGGACCAGACTTCTAAAAGTTCTGATTCTGTGCTCTGCTGCTCTATCACTTGCCGGTAGCGCCTGACGGAGGTCTTGTGGTCTATCTTCCCGAATATCGCCTCGGATTCACTTCTCCGCAGTCCTACCTTCAGAAAGTGGTCAATTTTCTGTTCATAGAGTTGCTGCTATTCTTTTCTTCGATCTCCTGTTGAGTTCATAGGCGTTCAGAATGGTTTGATCCCTATCTAGCTGAATTCCTGGAAGCAGACGAAGTTTAGGTCTCCTACTCCTCTGCCATAATGCTCCTCCCGGTATTGTTTTTTTGATAGGGATTACATTAAATCTGTAGATTGCTTTGGGTAACATCAACATTTTAACAATACTTATTCTTTAATTCATGAGCATGGACTATCTTTCTATTTATGTTGTCTTTAATTTCTTTCATCAATGTTTTATAGTTTTCAGAGTACAGGTTTTCACCTCCTCTGTTAAGTTATTCCTAGGTATTCTGTTCTTTTTGCTGCAATTGCAAATGGGATTTTTCTCTTAATTTCTCTTTCTGCTACTTCATTATTTAGTGTATAGAAACACAACAGATGTCTATATATTGATTTTGTATCCTGCAACCTTATGGAATTTGTTTATCAGTTTTAGTAGTGTTTTGGTGGTGTTTTCTATATATAATGTATCATCTGCAATAAGTGAAAATTTTACTTTTTCTTTACCAATTTGGATGCCTTTTATTTCTTTCTCTTGGTCTGATTGCTATGGTTAGGGCTTTCAGTACTACACTGAATGAAAATGGTGAGAGTGGACATCCATATCTTGTTCCTGACCTTACGGGAAAGGATCTCAGTTTTTCACCATTGAGGATGATGTTAGCTGTGGGTTTTTCTTAGATGGCCTTTATTATGTTGAGATGTGTTCCCTGTAAACCTACTTTGTTGAGGGTCTTCATCATGAATGGGTGTTGTAATTTGTCAAATGCTTTTTTCTGCATCTGTTGAAATGGTCATATGGTTTTTACCCTTTCTCTTGTTGATGTGATATACCATGTTGATTGATTTGCGAATATTGAACCACCATTGTATCCCAGGAATAAATCCCACTTGATCATGGTAAATGATTTTTTTATTTTTTTTTAAAGATTTTATTTATTTATTTATTTGAGACAGAGAGAATGAGAGAGAGAGAGCACATGAGAGGGGGGAGGGTCAGAGGCAGAAGCAGGCTCCCCGCCGAGCAGGGAGCCCGATGCGGGACTCGATCCCGGGACTCCAGGATCATGACCTGAGCCGAAGGCAGTCGCTTAACCAACTGAGCCACCCAGGCGCCCAGTAAATGATTTTTTTAATGGATTCAGTTTGCTAATATTTTGTTGAAGATTTTAGCATCCATGTTTATCAGAGGTATTGGCCTGTAGCTCTCTTTTTTTGTAGTGTCTTTATCTGGTTTTGGTATCAAGGTAATGCTGGCCTCAAAGAACAAATTTAGAAACTTCCCTTCCTCTTCTATTTTTTGGAACAGTTTGAGAAGAATAGGTATTAACTCTTCTTTAAATATTTGGTAGAATACACGTGTGAAGCCAACTGGTTTTGGACTTCTGTTTGTTGGGAGTTTTTTTAAATTACTGATTCAATTTCATTGCTGGTAATCAGTCTGTTCAAATTTTCTATTTCTTCAATGAATCATGGAACACTACATCAAAAACTAGTGATGTAATGTACAGTGATTAACATAACATAATAAAATAAAATCAAAAAAATTTTTTATTTCTTCCTGATTCCATTTGGGAGGTTATATATTTCTAGGAATTTATTCATTTCTTCCAAGTTGTCCAATTTGTTGACATATAGTTTTTCATCATATTTTCTTATAATCCTTTTTATTTTTATGGTATGAGTTGTTATTTCTCTTCTGTTTCTGATTTTGTTTGAGTCCTCTCTCTCTCTCTTCCTCTCTTTTTGATGAGTCTGGCTAAAGGTTTATCAATTTTGTAGATCTTTTCAAGAAGCAACTCCTTATTTCATTGATCTGTTCTATCATTGTTTTAGTTTCTATTTCATTTATTTCTCCTCTGATCTTTATTCTTTCTGCTGGTTTGGAGTTTTATTTATTTTTCTTTTTCTAGCTCCTTCTGGTGTTAAGTTAGGTTATTCATTTGAGATTTTCTCTTGCTTTTTGAGGAAGGCCTGTGTTGCTATAAACTTCCCTCTTAGGATAGCTTTTGCTGTGTCCTAAAGATTTTGGACCATCATGTTTTCATTTTCATTTGTCTCTGTGTATTTTTTTTATCTCCTCTTTGATTTCTTGGTTGACTCATTTATCATTTAGTAGCATGTTATTTTACCTCCATGTATTTGTGCTCTTTCCACATTTTTTTCTTACAGTTGATTTCTAGTTTCATAACTTGCTCCTTAATTCTTTTATGGGTCCCCCACAATTTATATGCATCCTATTTCCTTTTTATATTTCAATGGGCTCAAAATATGAAATTCCTTCAGTATTCAAAATTGCTATTTTGGGTTGCTCTTTGAAATAATACTTCATTCACCTCACTTGTATTAGTCTGGTGGCACAAGGGCAAATGATGATCATTCAACAAGTAAGAGTTGGATTCAGCTTAACTGGACACCAAGCTTAGAACCTAGTAAAGCTCTTGGCACATAATAAGTATATGATATCTATTGTTAAATTAATCAGTTGAATGATATTGCATTGAATATCCTGAAACGGTGTTGCCTTGATCTGCTCATGTGTGTTTCCAAAAGCCCTCTCGTCTCTTATTTCTGACCTTAAATAATACAATTATTGTTGCTTATCCTTTTTAATTTCCTTACCTCTTTGACCCTGACAATACAGAATTCGCTCTTTTATTTTTTGATTTTTTTAAATGGCTTCTTCTCTAATGATTTACCTTTTCCAAAGCATCTATATTCTGCACAAGTGAATTTTTTGTTATACTATATAATTATACCACTGGGATCTATACAAATGGAATGCCTCCTTACACAATATAGTGTACAGCTATATTTATTTATTCCCTTGAGAATTTCCTTCCTATATTGTAATACATCCCACCTCTCACTGACATCTTAGAAGGAAACAACAGCTTTCCCTCACTCATATTCACTTCTCTTGTATTGTTATTTTCTTCCTTTCCAAACAGAAATCATGTACTGTTGCCAAACATATTAATTATTTAGATTTTATTTCAGCTTTTTCCTTTACATATTATGACATCCTTCATGTCCTTTCCAGGAAATTATTTTTCTCATTTTTAGAAGAAATAAGATCATTGCAGAGAATATAAAAATAAAGAAAAATATATAGATGCAAATTAAAATCACCTCTGAATAGCAAATTGCCTGCCATCCAGAGATTTTCTGCTTTTTCCTATGTATACATGTATATATTTTTCTAAACAAAATTAAGATCATACTATAATATACTACTTTATTATTTTTTTCAAATTTAACATTATATCAACACTTTCATGTCATTACTCTTCAAAATACAATTTTTATCAATGTGAAATATGCATTTAATACCTTTTTTGGGACTTGGAGACATTTTATTTGTGTGTATTTTTTCATTGTTATAAATTATAGTATGATTAACATTTTGTGCATAAAATATTGTGTCTTTCTCTGATTATTTTCTTAAGCTCTTAAGAGTGAAACTAAGTAAAAATTTTTATAAATGTCCTTACAGCTCTTGATATATATTGCCATATTATCCCCCTAAGGACTATAATTTCCATCTTTTCCTATTCATAATTGTGGTTCCCTTCTTTTGGGGGTTAAAAGTAGATAAGCATCATTTCAGAATTATTGTTAAGAGCCAATATGATGAGTCAACATATTTCTATTCATTTGTTGTTGAAATCCCCTCATTTCACCTAGTTTGTTGATTATTCCTTAATTTGTCCCCTTGCTAATTTATTTCTTCATCTCACTCATCCAACAATGATCACTCATCAATCCAATGTTACAATGTCACTGCATACTCAAATCAACATTAGGCGCCAGGTGTACTTGAAGGGTCTAAGCCATGTGCTTGCACTTGGTGGCTACACTTAGTGGTTGATCAGAGGTGTATACCATGAGGATGCATTCCTGTTCATATTTTTGCAGAAACGTACATTTCAAAAATGTTTTTGTAATCATATTAGTGATCACTTTCTTCACAGATCTTAACATTTCTCAAACATACACATTATGTAGCAAAAACCTTACCTTTATCTAGATTCCTTTCATTTTTTACCAATATGATAAGCCTAAAACTCATCCCTTTAATGAGTAATGAATTCCACATTTAGTGTTCTCCTTTGTTACTATAGTATGAACTCATTATATATGAACTGTGTGTGTGTGTGTGTGTGTTGCAAAACATGACAATTGAACAGTGGCATTTCTAAGAAAGAGCAATAAAATTATGAATTGTGTTCATTTTTGTTAATTTTTCTTATTTTTTAGTGCTTTATTTTTTTTAAAAGATTTATTTATTTTAGAGAGAGAGTGTAAGCGGGAGGAGGGACAGAGGGAGAGAGAGAGAGAGAATCTTAAGCAGACTCCCCACTGAGTGTGGAGTCCAACTCAGGGCTTGATCCTATGACCCTGAGATCATGACCTGAGCCAAAATCAAGAGTTGGATGCTTAACTGACTGAGTTACCCAGGTGCCCCTGTTTTTCAGTGATTTCTAAACTCTCTGCCATAAGCATATATATGATCTATAATCAGGAAAAAACACATTTGCAAATTGAAGTTTGTTTACTCAACTGTAGCTTTTATGATATATGGAGTGCTTACTAACCTCCTATATGCCTGAATACATATGTGTTGGATCAATTTGTTACGCTGGCTTGATGTCTAATTTTTTTTTTTCATTTAAATCATGTTTTTTCAGTGTCCTCTATGGAAATAAAATCACAGAACTCCCAAAAAGTTTATTTGAAGGACTGTTTTCCTTACAGTTACTGTAAGTATTTGATGGTTTCTGATCTGTTGAACCAAGCGTTATATTTTAGTCAGTGTACACTCTCATGGTTTCGTGGAGACTTCAGAAAAGCTCAACCCCAAATGACATAGTTTAATGAAATGGAAAAGATTAGTATAGTGCAACTAACATTGATGGGTGTTATTTATTTGAAGACACGGCACTTTGAAGTTGTCTTAAAACATTTCTGTCCACCCTGTCACAAATGTAGGCTTCTTGGCTACTCTGTCATTAAAAGCTTGTGCGGTCTCTGCCCTTTGTGAAACTCTCTGTTTTGATTTAACAATAGTTGGGAAGGAGAGTGACATAGTGAGAGGTTTATCCACCTTTGTCCAAAGCATCTGCAGGAGGGACAGTGCTGGAATACCGTGCCCCCAACCCAGAGGTCCCAGAACACAGCAGGAGCACTCCAACTGGTGTTTACTCAGAAAATTATCTGTAAATCCCTGGCCTGCATCTTCTAAAAACCATTCTGCTTAGAGAGTAGCTACCTCTTCTTTGTCTCAAAAGAAGAATGTACCATACATATATGTATAAGAACAAAACTTGACCACAGGTGTTTTAGTGAATGCTCATATGAAAAGGAAATTGGAAAAAATACGCTAGTCTTAAGATGGTTAGTGTTAGATCATCAAATTCTCTTCAAATCACCAAAAATACATAGAATTCCTCCTTTGGGGCTGCTGTGGATACAAAGATGAGTATGATGTACTGTCCTCTCTCAACTAGTTCATAGTCAGTCTACCTTAAAATTCTCAAGTTTAAAATATTATTTTCTCTTTTGGTATACATTTGTTGGTGTTGGGATTTGTATCATTGATTTGGCAAAAATTTACTCCTAATCCCACAGATTTCCCAAATGTAGATCTTTTTCCTTACTTGATCAATGTAAGTTATAATTATATCCTAATATTCATGTTTTAAATTTTCATCATTATCCAGAAACATATTTTATATCACAACCCAGTTTTCCTACACAACACACAGATGCACACAAATGAAGCAAATTGTTAACAAAACAATATTTACCTTTACTATGTATAGTACTCTCCATTTTACTGCATTCTCTGTCTCTCGCTCTGGTCTCTCTTTTTCTGTCTCTTTAGTACTATGCAACCTAATAAACTGATTTTACAACAGACCAGTAAGTCATGAAAAATACTGATCCTTATGACCTAATGTCTTTATTTGGGTTTCAAATTATTTTTTAACCTTTGAGGTGGGCTCTGCAAATATTGCTTCTGATCTTTAATAGAATGACTCTATATACATTATACACATTATAGGTATATCTGGATGCTATAGCCAGGTATTGCCTGTGTGTTATTTGCTTCTCTGTCATTCTTCTACCTTTTCCTAGCACTATTATGTTTGCCATTTACTTGCAATCTCTTGCTATCGCTTGCCTGTCTAGTACTAACACTTAAATAGTACCTTCTTTTTCCTTCCACACATACTTATTGGTGGCTGATGTAACAACCAGGTTAATAAACCATGGGATCTGTATACAGATAAATCTTACTTAAAAAGCTATCTTTGTCCCTCAGCCTGATATGTTATCTCTAGATGAAGGCCAGTTCCTAAGCCTGCCAGGGCTAAAGCAACACAATTGTCTCTTTCTGGCTAGCTGAGAACTTGGTTAAGCATCTTAGATTTGCTTGAACAGATGAGGTACTAGGGAAAAGAAGTAGGTAAATGGAAAGAGCAAAAGGAAGTAGTGTGTGCAATACTTTCTTTCTCCTACTTTGCTGACCACATAATTTAAAGTAAGTACAAAATGCTCAAAACAGCACTTTCTTCAATTGTCTTCAATGCTCCCCACTTTTTCCTTCTCCTTATTTCTGCTCTCTGACTCCTTCAGTTAGCTGACAGATTGGGGAACACAGTCAGTGTGACCTGTGTTGTGGTGCAGTGGAGAAATGGGATTACCAGTCCATACCTGAAACCAGTTCCTAAGCTTTTAAGAAACCATTATGAGGACCACAGAGAAGACTAAAGTGTCAGGTCCTAAAGGGAGGTTAAAAAAAAAAAAAAAATGAGCGAAGAGAATTATCCCGAGGAAGTCACAGCTTTGCATGTGTGTGGATACCTAAAAAAGCAAGTAAAGCAGAAGAAATACCCTATGTTAATTAAAAATAGAGATTCTTGGTAGACAAAAGGGAAAACATTTTTCAGTGTGTTAAATAAGAAGGCATACAAATCCAAATGACAGAGCACATATTTTTTGAGCTACTAAATAATTTGTTCAAGTCTTAAGTATCAAAGCAGTAAAATAAATGCTAATAGAGATAAAAGTATCAAAAAAAATTCTCTGCCCAAGGAGGTCACTAATCCACCTTTGGGCAAACACGTAGGCCTACAGAAAGGAGGTGCCAAGACTAAGTAGCACTGAATAAGTTCCTTAGGGACCTAGAGGAAGAAATACTTTAGTTGGGTAGAAGCTTCTGAAAAAGGTGAGCTTCCCGCGCAGCCATGATAGGCCAGAGCGTTGAGGAAGGTGGAGGGCAAGGCAAGTGTATTCCCAAAGGGAGTCCAACATGCATAAAAACCCAGACACGATCCCATACAACCTACAAGAATGGCGTTTGCCAAAGTATGATTTGTAAACCACAGTTCCATAGAATATTGAAGTCAAGTATTGATAGCATGTTGGAAAAAAAATGAGTTTGTGGCATATTGTGTTAAACCAAGTTAAATGGGTATTTATACTGCAGGACCAGGGCCTTTAATAGGGTTATGACTCATGTCACTCTCCAAGAGGATCATAAAGTGTTCATTCAACAACATATTTATGGAGCACCTTGTATGTGCTTGGCACAAACAAAAATGCCTATCTGAGGAGAACATACAAATGGCAGCAATAATGTAATAAGTAAATCATATGTAACAGAGAGAAATACGTATTTAAGAAAATAGAAAAAAATAAACAGATCATAGTAAAGGAATTGTGTGTGCTAGAGGTTGAGGTGGGGCAAACACAGGTGATGGTATTGAAGAGAGGAGTCAGGGTAGGCTGAATTGAGACAGTAAGATTGCAACAGACTCAAAGAAGCAGAATAGTCAGACCTCAAGGGAAAGAACATTCCAAGCAGAGACCCCCACAAAGAGACATGTGGCTGGAGCTGAAGCAGCCAGGGGAGAGGTATATAGAGGTAATATAATTAGGTATTATATTAGAGGTATTAGAGGTATTAGGAGTTCAGAAGGGGGCGCTAATGGTCCTACTGGGCATTGAAGCAATTTGTCAGGACCTTGGCTTCCCTCAGAACAATTTGGGAGTTGCTGCCTGGCTTTGAGAGAAAGTGGCCTGTGTTTTAAAAGGCCACTCTGGCTTCTGTTTTGAAAATAGACTGAATTTCTTCACAGAGCAGCTAGAGAGACTAATGTTCTATGCAACTTTTTATGGCGTCCTTGACAGGAGACGTTCGGTCTCACCCACCTTTGTCTACTGCCCTACCTCTTCATCTTCCAGAGAATATGTTGAATAATTTTTATTGAATAAATGTGTAAGTACCACTAGATTTAGGCATTCATTAAACCGCGTGACCCTTGCTTTATCTGGAATATCTTCCACCTGTGGTACCTAAATTATTCCAGTTAAAATGCTAGTGTTGAGGTTCAGAGAAATGTTATTTCTTGATTTCTTGTATTTCTCAAGAAGGACAGAATCTTGAAGGTGGGTTAACGAGATGCTACACTTTAATTCTGCAACTATTTGATCAAACAGATTATTGAATGCCAACAAGATAAACTGCCTTCGGGTAGATGCTTTTCAGGATCTGCACAACTTGAACCTTCTCTCCTTGTATGACAACAAGCTTCAGACCATTGCCAAGGGGACTTTTTCACCTCTCCGGGCCATTCAAACCATGTATGTATATATGGCTTGGATCAAATATGATGACTGCTGTCCTCACTGTGAATTTGAGAGTTGAGTTCATTGCAAGTCATGTGTAAAAGTGTTCTGTCTGTGTTTCTGAAAGGCATTTGGCCCAGAACCCCTTTATTTGTGACTGCCATCTCAAGTGGCTGGCGGATTATCTCCATACCAACCCCATCGAGACCAGTGGTGCCCGCTGCACCAGCCCCCGGCGTCTGGCAAACAAAAGAATCGGACAAATCAAAAGCAAGAAATTCCGTTGTTCAGGTAATTTCTTACTTCATGTGATATTTCCCCTGTGTTACCGAAAACAGTGATTACGGAGACCTAGAGACTGCTGGTCTCCAGATGAATTACCAAACATTGTAGAATATACTTTTTTTTCTGTCTGTAAAGAACAAAATAAAGGGAGCTGTAGACACAATTCATATAGCACTCCTATAGCTAATATTTTAACACTATATCCAGCATAACAAATAGGTTACCAGCCAAGAAAAAAATAATGCTTGGATACTCCATACTGTATTTTTAGGGTTCAAACTAAACAGGGGCCTTTTAGCAAGCTCAGAATCCTTTTTATGTCTGTTAAGTCTCATGCCTGTTGTATTATTCTCCACTGAGAAACTTAAGGTAATCAATCATGTTCTCATTTCTTCAGAAAGTGAACTGAGACTTGGTTATGTGATTTGCTCAGGCTCAGAAGTAGGGGGGAAAAATTTCCTGATCCCTTGCTTCGCACACTAAATGTGTTTACTTATTTTTCACCCTCTTATTTTAAATAGGACTGTGAGGATAATTTTTTTTTTTTTTTGCCAAAAGGCCATCTTTTAGCATTTTGGGAATATTATATTTATTTATAAAAAGCCAAATCTAGATCCATTATGTTACTATTATATAAAAGGCTTACTTCATTGAAATTTTCTGTTCACTTTGGTCTCATCTTTTCTGTGTTCTTATGATAAAATACATTCTGTATGTTTTGAGTAGTATGCTATCTAACTATTCCAGGGGTATTTCACATTCGGCAGTTAATTCATACTAAAAAGCTAATATCAAAACAAAGCTGTTTATTGTCCATGGTTCTAGAGACATTTACTACTCACTGTACATTATTATACTTCAGCCACTGCTGTGAATATAATTCACTTAATTATCTATAGTACCTATAGTCCATTCTTAATCTAATATAACTCATATCTCTGCTTGCTGACATTCAGGTGCATCTTCTATTTTTTTTTCTCTTTTTTTATTTAGCTAAAGAACAGTATTTCATTCCAGGTAGGTTTTGCTCGGTACTAGGACTAACTGCAGACACCCTTTCCTCACCTTATAAAATATAGCTTCTGAAACTTTGATATGCATGCGTTTGAAAGTACAGTGGGTACTCTGTAGATAGATTGACTTCTGCATAGATCACTTGTAGCTGTTTCCTGAAAACCTGACCTTTGCATGCAGCTTCTGATGTTAGACATATATATTATTAAACCCCCATCTTTTTTTTCCTCTCTCACTTTGGCACATTATCTAAAATTTCTCACAGTAGCTAAAATGTTTGAACCTATAGCCTTCTACTTAAATCATTTTCTCTCCTTATGTTGTATATCTGATCTTTCAACCTGTTTTTAAAATATAGCTTATTGAGCTGGTTTTAAAGACAGAGACCTTTCTGTTGTCAAAGAACTAGTTCTGCATGAAATCAGTTACAAACACACGGAATTCTCTTGTCGACCATGAAATTTACTTTTTTTAATATAATTCTTTATACTAAGAAAGTGTCCCTTACTTTTTGCTTTATTTTGCTTTACTGTTGCTTCACTTTTTATACAAAAACAGCAACTTACTGCTTGTTGACATGCAATTATACATTATTTGTAACATTGTTGCAGACTTGGGGTGATGGTATAACTCCACAGAAACAATACTGACCTACATCCTGAAAGCCTCAGATGTTCCTGGGCACTAAATGCCTTGAATAATTTAGGCAGATGAATGAAAAGTTTTTTAGAAAAGTAATTGAAATGTTTTACCACTACAATCTTAACACTCTCAAGTCTGATGATTCTGGAACTAGCTCTTTGAAACATGTTTACTTATTTTTTTCCTTGCCTGCCAATTGTGTAAAATGCCTCTTGTTTGTTTTAAACCATTATATAAAAATATGTGTTAGTAATTGATTGGCTACATTTACCATCTCCTGGGGATATTCTAGACTATCATATATTTTAACAGCTACCAATAAGAAGATACTTATATGGTGTTAGTATGCAAAAACCTTATTGATTTTTTAAAGAAGAGTTCTGGGTTTGGTCTCTATTTTAAGGAGATATGTGTTATTTGCCATTATTGAATTATAATTTGAATAATTTTATGCATATAACAGATTTTGTTTTATTACTTATTTTGAGCTTGAGTGATCAATAATATTTGTATGTTACATGGGCTGCATAAGAAAACATGTTGAATAGAACAGTTGATTGGCCTTCAGAGGCAATCTTTAAAATTCATTATTTTTACCTCGTTGTTAAGCAGAAAGTCATCTGATAACTATTACTTACCCAGAAAAAAGCCATATTCTAAATACCAGAACACCTATAGGATAAAACATTAATATTACTAAAATCTTCAAATTATGGCAGTTGATAGAATTGTTATCAAATTATTCAATAAATTACATTTAAATATAATGCATTAATAATTTAGAAATTAATATTTCTGATTCACAAATTAAAGATCCAACATCAGATTGTTTTCATAAATTCTGATAGAGTTTTGCCTATTTATTGACAGCAGTCAAAATAAGTTTTTTTGGAAACACACTGTATATGTGATATCATGGCTTAATTGTCAATAATTTCTGATCATTCAATTTACACTAAAGCAATAACAATAGAAGTCAGGACTCAGAAGGATTCTTTGGTCCTTCTCTCCTTTTTCTTCCTAGATTATATTAAAATTTTAGCTTACCTATAGAGTCTTCATAAAAGAAACATCATTATCATTACAATGAATGCAGACTATTTTAAATATAAGATACCTGATGTACCTGTCATTTAGCCCTTTGTTCCCAGTATTTCTTCATTTCACTTTTAAAACGAAAGCTTAAACTACAGGACAACAGTTCTTCAGTAAATGCCCTGGCATTAATTGTCAAGTCTAATGAAATGATTATATTCAGCTTTGTGATTGTATGAGGTTCTGATTTCATTTCCACTAAGTGACATTATTTGTAAGTTGGAAAGGCCATTAAAAAACATGTAAGCCACAACAGTAAGGCTTAATCCAGATGTATTTGTTTTTGAAGATCTCCATGGTTAGTTTTTCACTTACGTTTGCATGTTTACTTGCCTACCACCATTCTATATGGCATTCTAGATATTATAGTGATAACTCAACAGAAAATCTATCTTGCAGAGAGCTCATCATTTAGAGGAATCGACAAGAACTTAATCTGTGCTGTGCATCTCATATGCCATTGCTTTTCCTGTAAGAGCACTGTGCTTCAAAAAAGTACTACAAACATTTGCAAAGCATGACAATGGCTGTCATACTCTGCCATCCCCCCTATAATTGCCATAGTAAGGAAAGAAGGAAGAGACCTTCACTAGTTTTGTATATGTGTTGATTAACCTTAATTGGGATTACTCTTTCTTTCCTTCTTGGTGATCTTTACTTTTGCAGGAATTCACCATTTTGGCTGTAAGTAAAAGTGTCTGATCTGAAACATAATGCCCTCCCTTTTCAATCCTGATGTACTTCTTCTAGTCTCGGTCTTTTGCACCTTTTTTTTTTTTTTTTTTTTAAATATTTTATTTATCTATTTGACAGAGAGAGAGAGAGCGAGAGCAGGAACACACATTCTGATTGATCTTTGCTTTTTTTTTTTTTTTTTTTTTTCCCCCAAGAAGCAACCACAGATCTTTTGAGCTTCTCTGTTGTCCTTGTAGCTCACCTTCAACTTCTTCCTGGATGTTGTTCCCGAAAGCTGTTGTTTCCATTCTGCCGTTCTGAGGAACAGTGGAGGCACCTTTCAGTGTAGCCCCTTCTTTGTGTTTCCAGGAAATCTTCGGTAGTAATACTCTTACTATGGTCATAAACATTCTGCGGGAAGAATGCATGTCATGTAAACAGTATTACGTTTCCAGAGCGTCTGTAGCTTTTTCTCCTGCTTCCCTTCATCTTTCCTCTCGGTCTTACCCTTGGCCTAGTGGATGGTGTAGTGATTATGTAGCGAGATTTTCTGTTGTGCTTGATCTAACCATGTGGTTGCCAGGTATGAGTAAAACATGGTTCCGTCAAGCACCATGGAACGTCACGCAGCTTTCTACAGCATGACAAGCTGCTGAGGCTTAAATCAGGATTTACTTGTCTCCTTTTATAAAATCAAAATGAAAAAAGAGGGCTTTTTTAGGCATTTCCGAAGATTATGTGAGAGGGAGAGAATAATATAAGACCATAGAAAATTTAAAAACCTGAGTACATCTATTTGCCTTGAAAGCCCTAATTTAAAATGATATATAGGAATATGTTTCTTACTGGATACATTTTAAATTCTTGACTCAGAGAAAAAAATAAACTTTGTAACAATTAATAGCCATTGTATGATTAGCTGTCAACTAGGCTAGAATGGCTCATAACTGGATCAGCAGAAAGTACAGCTGTGAAAAGCTCATCTCTATTAATGTTTTCCTGTCCTGTGAATCTGGTTACTCTTTTTTCCAGCAAATTCCAAGCCCTTGTTTTAACCCTCTCCTGACATCCATTGACCAAAAATTCCCCAAGTTGTCTCCCTGCTGCATAATCTATAGTTATCTTACTATTTTTCTTCCTACAAATTAATGACTATTCTAACCTTTAGACTCAGTATCTTTTTTTTTTTTTTTGCCTTGAATCCTCAATAGGTACAGAAGATTATCGATCAAAATTAAGTGGGGACTGCTTTGCAGATTTGGCTTGCCCTGAAAAGTGCCGCTGTGAAGGAACCACAGTAGATTGCTCCAATCAAAAACTCACCAAAATCCCAGACCACATTCCCCAGTACACTGCAGAGCTGTGAGTTCATCTCCCAATAAAATCCGGGTTGGGAGGGAGGGAATGAAAGCATCATAGCTTTGCAATTTTTGTCTTTCCCTTTTATTTTTAAGAATTACATTGATTTTAATTAACACACATGGCCATAACTCTTCTTTGTACAAGGATATATTAGAAGCTATCTTACTTCATCTTTCTGGTCCAAGACATGACTACAGAAATTAATTTATGTCTCAAAAATTCAGTTAGTTCTTAATAATGCTAATAATAAGAGCATTCCTTTGATATTTATTTCTTGGGTATTATTTATGCCCGCACCCATTTCTAAACATGTAATAGATTTCTAAGGTATATAGTCTTTTGCAGCAACCACATAAAATAGTTGGTGAATCACCATTTTGAATCTCTGTTAATTATGAATTCATTCAGAGAGCCTTAATTGGCTTTATTACCTCACTGAGTCGAAGGTGGTAGGATTCTGTGATTATCAGGTATTTAAAGCACAGAGGATACTTTTTCCCTGAACAATGGATAGCATTGCAGGAAAAGCTGAAAGGACAACGAGATCAGATTGATATTTATAACCCTACCTCGAGCCTAGCACATACTAGGTGCTAAAATGTTTGTTGAATCATCTATAGACTCTGCCAAGTATGGTTTGCCTTTAGTGATTTTATTTATAAAAGTCATACTAGTTTTCTAAAAATTCAAGAAAAACTTGGTGAAATCTCATTGTTTTCTGAACATCTTAGCAACGTTTATGTATAGCACCATTTGGTATTTGCTATTAACTGCTTTGCAAAGTTGGTTGTCCTTTTATGCTTGTATAATCCTTTTGTCTTCAACTAGCTTGTAATTCCTTGATGATGGGGATTGTGTTTTATAGTTTATCTCCCACTGTGCCTATACTCATGCCTGTTATTTAATGAATCCTAAGCAATTTGAATAATTAAAAATAATGTAATGCTTTCAAAGAGATGACAGAAACTACCCTGTGGCTATAGTGGTACTTTTTAAAAATTATTATTATTATTCCTGTTAGTTTTTGAATCTATTTAAAAGCTCCAGGGTTTTTGTTTTTGTTTTTTGAGGAATTTTTTTTTATTATGTTATGTCACCATATATTACATCATTGGTTTTTGATGTAGTGTTCCATGATTCATTGTTTGCAGATAACACCCAGTGCTCCATGCAGAACATGCCTTCTTTAATACCCATCACCAGGCTAACCCATCCTCCCACACCCCTCCCCTCTAGAACCCTCAGTTTGTTTTTCAGAGTCCATAGTCTCTCATGGTTCGTCTCCCAGTCTGATTTCCCCCCCTTCATTCTTCCCCTCCTGCTATCTTCTTTTTTTTTTTTTTAACATATAATGTATTATTTGTTTCAGAGGTAC